TAGCGTTGCCATGTGCCGATGTCAAAATTTCTCAATTAAGCAAAAGCAAGACTGAAGCACACAAGTTTTGCAGTTGGTATCCTACTAATCATAAAACAACTGGAGAGAACAAGAAAACACGGGCTACCAGTTAGCTCATCAACGTTTTTAGCATCTGCAAGTTCCAGAATCCCTCTTTCAAGTGTGTACATGGACATGTGTGTGTGGGTGGGGATGAGTATTAGCGGCTGGATGTAAAATGCAATACCTGAGAATATCCTTCACAAAAGCCATATATTTTGCAAACTGCTGAACATTTAATTGTTGAGCAATGAGAAGAGGCATGACAAGTGGAAGGACATGCTCCGCCACAAATTCTATCCCATTCTGGAGAAAAAACAAATTATGTAAAAGCAAAGCAATCAGTTAGATACTGTTGGTGTAAGCACCAGCAATCAAGTTGGCCGAGATAGCATATACCTTCTTCAAGATAGAGTTGGCTACTCCAAGGGTACACATAAGAGTTGGTGCAGAACGATCAACTGCAGTACAACGTTGGATTGTTTGTAAGATCTCTAGAACAGCAGGCCTATCTAGCGTGTGAACCATATCCCCCAAACATAACAATGCATTGACCCTCACCTGCGAAGAGAAAAAATTATTGCGTGTCTATCAATGTTCAACTTGGTCAACCACCAAAAAGAAGGGGCTAGCTTATCAACAATCAGTGACACTGGAAAACGAACTTATGTATCAAGAAAAAATGATTTAGGAATGTTCACAAGGTAAACAAATGTGACAAAAAACTTTAGGGATATTGACGTGCCAAAGCAAAACAAGCAGTCTTTTGCTCTGAAAGGATGAAATTTACGATGAAACTATCAATTCCCCAATATTCAGGATTTTGTGGTTTTTCAATTCGCAGTCACAACTCACAAGACTTTTGAGTAACTCATGCCATAACATTCCTGCACAGAATAATGACTACGTACCGCAGCAACAGTTGTTTTCAGTGCCAAACCATGAACACGAGGCATGATTGCCTGTTTTACTAACTGCAAAAAAAAAAATGCATTTACAAACTCAAATATGAAATCAATTATAAGTCTAATAGCAGTAATGTGATACTAGTTCTCCAGACCTTAAGATCATATTCATTCACATCCAAGCATTAATCTCTCCCCTAACACGTATGCAGGTTACATCAATATTTGACAAAGAGAAATAAACCTCATACGCGGGTTAATCAATGTTTGACAAAGAGAAATAGACCTCATTGTGTCACAGGAAACTAGTGTTAAGTGGTCAACTAAAATTAAGCTTACCATACACACACACGAATCAACTGTGAACAATCTTAAAAACTCTAAGTGAAGTTCATTAACTCCACAAATAGAAGACTATGACTTACCCAATAAAGTGTCAATATTTATCTTAAATCTTGAATGGTTAACGAGATAATTCATTCCAAGGATTTACATTGAGATAAAACCATTTTTATAAAGCTTTTTGCGCGGAATATTAACTTTTAATGTAATTCTTAACATTTTGTACATAATCAACCCATGTAATTAACAAAAGGAAAATAGAGCCTACTGTGAACTGAAACAGCAACATAATTTTTCAAATTACATAGAATGGTTGAGAAGTGAAATCCACTAGCCACAGTTTTTTTTTTTTTTTTTTTTTTTTTTTTTTTTTCATTAATCCACTAGCCACATTTATAAAGAACAGTCATTTTTAATATTACTTTCTACATAAATGGTTAGAGGCCACGAAAAGGCTACACCATTGCGACACTAATCTAAATGATGGTTTAGAACTCAAAATAGATAATACAACCAAATTCTGAACACCTCAGAAGCTAGAGAAGGAATGGTTGCAATTAGTATACTTCCAAACTTCAACATAGATTCCGAAGATGATAATTCAATAGAAGTTTTTCCTACAACGTTCTTAAAAGGGAGAAGAAATGGCACATACTATCTTCTATAGAGTGCCTTCCACGACATCACCTAGCAAATGTTCTGAGATTTTGATGTAACCTCTCCATTTTAGGATTTGTCCTCATACCTTGCTTTTCTATTACGAAATCACTTATCAAATGAGTATAAACCTAAAGAGAATTTTCTTAAATAATGTTCAATTTGAACGAATTGTATCTGCATCTCATATTCTACCGCGTCATCAATACAAAGAACATGTAGGTTACTGGTTGGCTACAATGCCATAGCCCAAGATCCAATCTCATTATTTCTTCCCAGTCCTTAAAAATGACATCTTTCTGTCATTGATCTTGCCAGAAAGTATTCTATGCAAGTACCTCACAAATTTCCACCCATATATCAGAAACTGAGTAAACATGTCCCCAAACACCCGGCATCCCTCTCACCTACTTTCACTTCATCTTGGCACTCACATTCTTTATCAAGTTGAGCTGCCTGAGGATCTTCCTCAGTGATGAAACTTCATTAAGGAACTTTCATTAGGAGGATCAGATTATACAACATTTTTTCCTTTTCCTTTTCTTGGTAGAACCGGTGAACTCAATATAAACAGCCATTAGTCTCAATTCAGCCAACCAACTGATGTGACAATTAGAAATAATAAAGGACACCAATTACCTGAACATCAAGTTGCTTAGCAAGTGGTACAGTCTTTTTCAGGACTTCCTCTTGCAAACGTGGATCGGTATCATCATAAGCTCGGACAAGCATGGGCAGGACATGTGAGATTAAGTGGTCTTGACTAGCCTGCAGATGAGAAGATGCTATAAGAGATAAAGCAACGATAATAAACAAGCACCAAGTATATATCAACTTGCAAGGATTATTGCAAGGTGGAGAAATTCCCTACAGTATATCTGGGTCTACCATTGGGGGCAAGACAAAATGATACATTGATGTGGCAAGAAGTAATTGAGATGTAAGAAGAAATTGATGCCTTGGAAAGCGGTATTTATCTCATTGGGGGGTGTTGACTTTGGTGAACCGTGTGTTGGATGGTATACCAACATATCTCATGTCTTTGCTTCTAATTCCTACAAATATTATGAAGCAACTTAACAAAATCAGATCTGACTTTTATGGGAAGGTGGGAGTGTTAACAGGAGATACCATTTAGTAAAATGGTCGACAGTCATTCAGGATAAAAAGTTTGGAGGCATGGGAGTCAGAAATCTGAAATTGCACAACAATAGTTTGCTATATAAATGGCATTGGAGGTGCAACAATGGAAAAGAAGGATTGAGGAAGAAGGTAGCAACAGTTAAATATGGGTTGGAATCTTCCTGGTGTACTAAGCTTGTGAAGGAACCTTATGGAGTAGATTTGTGGAGGCAAATAACAAATTGTAGGGATGAATTTAATGTTCAATACAAGTCTGAAAATTGTATATGGAAGAATGGTCAGATTCTGGGTGGATAAATGGTTGGAAAATACTCATTTAAGGGATATATTTTTAGATTTGTATAATTTGGCCACTGATGGAACATGTACTGTAGCAAGCTGCTATTCTAAAGGCAGTTGGAATCTTATTTTTAGAAGAAATTTCAATGATTGGGAGATTAGAAATGTGAGCAGCTTACTATAAAAATTAAATGCTGTACTTTTAGTTAAAGGCAAAGAAGATCGCTTATCCTGGTTTGCAGCATTGACGGAGAATTTTCAGTTAAGTCCTCCTATAAATTACTTTAGGACAAGATGATTCAGGGAAATGTAACTGGCCCTGGAAGCTTATTTGAAAAACAAGAGCCCCTCTGAAAGTTGCTTGTGTTGGGTGGATTGCAGCAAATGATTCTTGCCTCGCTCAAGATAATTTGCAAAGGAGAGGAGTAATCGGTAGTAGATGTAGCATGTTCAGACAGGCGATGGAATCAGTCAATCATCTTTTTATTCATTGCAACGTTGTTTGGCAGATATGGTGCATGTTTGTAAATCTCTGTGGTGTTCAATCGGGTGATGCCAAGAAATTTGGAGCAGCTGTTCAATTGCTGGCTGGGACAGAAGCCTAACAATAGGTGCAGATAACTATGGAGGTCTATTCAGTTGTGTATATTAATTATGGGCTATCTGCTTAGACAGGAATAATAGGACTTTCGAGGGGAAAAAGATTGTATTTCCCATATCAAATTTAGATGCATTCAGAATTTGTAATGCTGGAGTAATAGAAATGTAGCAAGTGAGTTTGCAGATACTTTGGCTCTTCTGGACTCCTTATAGGCTTAGGAGTAGGGGATCAGACATCTTTGTACTGATCAGTAGGTCTTGGTACTATTTGAATTAATACAAATTATACCTTTCATCAAAAAGAAAAAAAACACCAGGTAGGTAAGTATTCAACAAAGAAACGAGTAAGAATAAGAAACTAGAAAAGTCTTCTGTTGTTTTGCTTCAAACAAGGCCAAAGTTAAGCTTTTGTCACTGTCCTATAGTATTCCGCTTCTTAATAAACAAGCTTGGTTTTCTTTTTCTTTTTTCTTTTTCTTTTTTTCCCCTTCCTCTTCTTAGGCGTTTAGGAGGCATCGCTATTACAAGTTTGAATATATGTACTGCAATCGTTAAAAAGTGATCAGGTTATAAACAATTAAAAGAATAACCAAAAGGTCAGCAGCTACTTTCTTACCTTGTTGATAATAAGCTCTGCATGCTTAACTAGTAGCAATAATGTTTCACCTGCTGCACTGCTTAGGACAGGAACAAGAGCTGGCAGGGTTGACATCTCAAAATCACTTTTATCCTGCAGTGCACCACTCAATCAGTCATACTACACAAAATTGATTGATAATACATGTAGTTAATCACATCGCGACAGCTTATAAAGATCAGTCCCGGTAATTCACCCAGAAATATAATGATTAATCCTTGTACTGCTGTACAAATCAATTTAACAGATTCAATAACAGAAAAGTGAACAATAAGAGACAAACAAATTGACATGAATAAGCAATATTACATACATAACTTTGAAGCATGTTCTGGAATACAACATTGATACAAGGACAAAAACAGACAGTACAAGCAAAGATCAAACATTAGGAGATTCTATTATAAGATTGAGCTATGCAAACATATACGCAAAGATGAGTACATAGGCTACAATGTTTCACTACGGATAATTTACAAGGTTTTACTTAAAATTATCGTTGAAGATGTCAAGCTGAGATGGACAGTGCAGTGCAATGAGCTGGGAATGAATCAAAGCTGTTATGCAGTGCATTGTACCAGTTAGTTAGTTGAGAGAGCTACGTAAGCTGACGTGTACAGAAAATATCTAGGAGCTGTGATGCTTTGTGAATGGCAATCGAGTAGATTAAATTAGGTAAGTTGGCGAGTTGAGATTATTTTGTATATATAACTCAATCAGTTGAGGTAGGTTAGATGTTATAGCTCAGGTCACGTGTTTTTTTCATTTCCAGAATTTAGGCAGCAAAAGTTAGTTTCAATTCTCTCAAGATTTCCTCTCAAATTCATCTACTACATTTCGATTAATGAGTGTGCTTCGACTGTGATAAACAATACACTGTTTCTATCCATGATAAATTGTTCTAGTCGTTGATAACACACATAACATGCTTCTTTAAGAAACAGTTTCTCGTCATAATTTTCTGCTTCACAGACTAAATAGCCATTCTAAGTCACTAAACATGTCCAATGATGAACTTGTGCGAATCCACAGTAATGTTTGCTTCGAAATTGAGACTACAACACCACCACCTTATTAGATGACCCTAAATCTCACACAGATTGCAAGAAACAAGATTAAAGAAATGAGGTGATACTACATATTTATACCATACACTCAAAACATAATAATACTAATTGGCGGAATTTGGATTTGGATTAAAAAAATTAGTCAAGCGTACCAGCTATACATATCAGATAAACATGGTGAAGCAAATAATACCTGAGATTCTGCAATTGTCAGAACCATGGGAAGAATCATGGGTTGCATTACCACATTCCGAAGCTCTGCGCATAGTGGAGGAAGAACCTGCATCATAATACAAAAATGATAAGTTCTCCAACCATTTAGAATTGCAAAAGCAATTAACAAGTACTTGAGCAACAGAAGAGCACATAATTGATTTATCAAATAAAAAAATGACTTATAAACAGGGATGACCACCAAACCTTATAACGCAGTACACGGGAGTCAAAATCTTTCCACATGTCAGACAATGCCTTTAAAAACTCAGACTTCTGCATGTTATCTCTTTCCTACAAAATGAAAAGTTTTCCTATTAATACTGAGCTTTAAATCATTTTGTAACATTGTACTGTTGCCAAACGTTATAGCATATATTCCTGCAAGCATGCTCAAGCTAAAATATGAATCCGTACAAGCATGTGATCCAGGAAGCGAAGAGCACGCAACCTAGTGTCGTCACGAAAAAAAGATGAACCTGTAGAGAAAAGAAATAATTTTTAGATGAAATTTAAGTTCTTGAAGCATATGCTCATTCAAGTAAGTAGCTGAATAGCTATACAAACAGAAGGACTGTGAAACTAAACTTCTCAACCACATTTGTCTTCTAAGACCAATTATTTTTGTCATTCATCTAAATAAAAGATGATCAATTATTCTTGTGATTATGTGTGGACAAAGGAGAATTCAGTCTCAGTTAAACAAGAAAGAACTTGGTTCCATAGTATCCACCTCAACTAAACACACTACTAAAGCCCAAACAATGGCTAAAAATTAAACATATTTTTTTTGGTAATAATTTTAAACATATTACTTAACCCAAAAATGATAATAAGCATATTTCGCATTCTCACTTGCACCAAACACTTAATTATTCTTTTCTTTCTGCTTTCCTTAGTGATTTGAGAATCCAGTATCTTCAAGTGTATACCAATGCCACTCCCTCAATTATCGGATCAGATCATTGAAACTGGGATATTCTAGTTTAAAACGTTGGCATCCTGGGAAGAATAACTTTTAAAATCAAAGAGAAAGGTTAAATTTCACTTGGTAGGAATAATAAATTATTATGATGAGCAAAAGAGCTATTTCACTATAAAATTTTAAGACTTAAACCCCCTTTAGTTCACTGTATTAATGAACTGTGACATAATTCAAATTGATCATTAAAAGTTTAGAGATAACAATATTTATCCAAGAAAAAAAAAGTTCAGAGATAAACAACCCCCTTTATGCAATCTATTCACAATATTCCAACATGATAAACAGTACGTAGATGTGAATGGATGAAGACTAATCATGATCATATTGCACTTTGCGACATGCTTTCAGAAAACCACGCAAAGTCAACAAGGAACACAACAGAAAAACAAGGAAACTGATACAACAAATAAAAACTATTTTCTAAATTATCAAGGTTTTTTTAGTAAGGAAAATAATCAAGGTTTTATGACGTGTGGTTCCTAAAATTATCTTTTACTCTCTTTCTTCTTCTTTTGTCCTGTTTTAATTGATAAGTGGGCCCTGAATCTATATATTTTACAAAGAAAAAATAAAACCAACAAGAAAGATAAAGAGAAAGGATTGGTAGCAGTGGATACACCTCACGAGAAATAAAAGAAATGACAATACTTACTTGTTAAACCCATGGCAGTTGGTCTCAGAGCCTCATTTGCAGAAAGCATATTCTGCAAGTCCGGAACTAGTTCTTGTGGAATAGACGAGAAAGCTTCGCTGGATAAGTAATTCAAATTGTTCATGTACTGCAAGAAAGTTGTACAAGGACCACTATTATCAAAAGAAACCTAAAATAAGAGTAACAACAATTCCAAAGTCATGTTTCATCAAATATTCATCTGATACAAGAATAGATCTCAAAGAGAATATATTAGATATGCAACAAGGTATCATATTTAACTTACGACTATCAAATATCTTCAATTTTGGTAGAAAAGATGTTCACTCCGGTAAAATCTCTTGGTCGAGTTACAACTATTGCTAGTTATGGTTGAGAGGATAATCGCAGAAACTTAAGCTCACAAATTATTCAACACCAATAACTTCACCATACTTTCTCCCCAAGAAGAAGAATATATAAGTTCATCAGCAGCTTAAGACATACATAAGAATACACCTACTTTGTTCGGCCTAGATCACTAAGTCAATTTATACAAAATGGCAAGAAAATTTCAGACATATACCTGGATGCTACATATAAAATTTTAGAATGTGATCAGAGTGGCATTTATACTTCAAGTATTTAACATGGCAAAGCCCAATGTTCCAAGTTACAGTACAAATGAATATGACAGACTACGAACACAAGATTGAACGAGCTAAACTTTCTTCCCATACCCCAACTTGTTCCTTCTTCCTTAGGTTGTAGTAAAGCCTCAAGCGCGGTGAACCAGAAAACTAGGATTTTTGGTACAGAATATTCATTATGCGGATCATCAAAAGCAGACCCCAATAATCTATGTAAATGATCACAGCTGAGTTAGTCACCGTAGAGCAGAAACATAGTGTGGACTAAATAAAGACCTTCAGAAGTTGCACATGAAGAAAGTTCTCTTAAGACAGATATAATGAGTAGGTGCACCCAGAAGGCCCTACTTGTATTAGACGATTGGGTGGCTTTTGTAGAGGCCCTTTTTTTGGGTATACTGCTTGTATATGGGGTTTTCTCCAACATCAATAATATTATTTAGCTTATCAGAGAAGAAAGATTTAATGAGTAGAAATCTATTATGAAATCTACTATGGACAAAAAAAAAAAGAATTGTTCTACTATGAACAACCTAGCAATACTATCAGGACGCTGCACACAGTTTCAGTCATTAATTTACAGAAAGTAACTACATTTGCAAGTACCATTTTCACATTGTTGTGGCAGTCCAACAAAGGCTTCCGAGCAATCAAGTGGTAGGCAAGGCACCCAAAACTGAATATATCAGAGGAGCACCCAATCGAAGATGTCTTACTTCGAACCAGCTCTGGTGCAGTGTAGTTCAGTGATGGCTGAAGTGGTATAATAGAATCCTCAACATCATATTCCTGAAAATTCATCAGATAATAAAGCTAGTTTTTAGCAAATATCACCTCCAGACCAAAATATCTAATAGATAAATAGACTTGTTCAATACAGAAATTTTACAGGTAATGAATAATACAAGTCATCATCAGCTAGATAAGTTATTTCTTATTCACATTCTCTATCAAAATTAAAAAATTATTTATTCCCATGATAGAAGACTAGAGTGGGGAAAGGAGGGAGCTGTGAAGGTAATTCTGGCATACCATGAGCACGTAAAAAAGTAGCTTTCTGTACATGGTGTGTGTGCCAGACACTATTAACACCAGATAATTTCAGAAAGAAGAGAAGGTTGGTGGAGAGTTAGTGTTGCTTGTGTAGAGAGGTGGCGGAAAGTTACTGATCATGTCTTATTACAGTGCGGACTCACAACACATTTTTTTTGGGGGTAAGGACAGACTCACAACACAGTTGTAATTGATAATATATTCTGAAGTTTATCTCGAGGCCTTTTTTTTAATAAGGTAAGATCAGTTTATCTCGGCGCTTTTAGACCCATCCAAGTAAGTGGTATTCGATTGAAAGAAAAAAGGTAGAGATTTGCATTATCAACCTGGGCTACGCCGAGGACAGCGACAAAGACAATCACCAGTTGGACTATAAAAAGGATAGGCAACGAGAACAAGGCAGCATGGAACACTCTACCATGTATTCTTTGGACTATTCGGAACATGAGAAGATTATGTCATGAACATTATTTTTGACAAGGTATGTCATGGACATTATGTGTTAAAAAATATTTTATATTTAATATTTTTGGTGTAAATAAAGAATACCAGTGTGTAGATGATAGGGATGTTTTGATAGATTGTGGTGGTTGAGCCACTCAATTATTTCGTAAACAGGTTTGACACGATTGTGGTGTGATATCAATGAAATGTCTAGACTTATCAGTAAAGTTCAAAAGGAAAAAAGAACATCAACTGTAAGTGATAACACGTAAAAGGAGAAAAAGACACACAAAGAGAGACATTCAGTTGCTAAACTTCAAATTATGTGAAAAATATCATTTCATATTGTATTTTGGATTAACTCCATCCATGTATTTGCACAGTCTAAGAAATGCTTGTCCCACTTAGGCGAAAAACCAAATAACAGGATGCCACGTCAAAGGCATTCCCCTTTGGCTCATATACAATTAACATACAAAAGAGAAGCCGTCTTGTAATGACTTGTAACTTTTAACTTAACCGTCCATTTCAGTATTTTCATACTACATAAATAATAGGAAGTAAAAAAAAAATCTGGTCCACTACATTTGACTAAGATGCAATTTCGTTCCTACTATTTCTGATTGAGCCAATTCCGTCCTCAGAGCATGAAATTTATTTAAATGGTCTAAGAGTTTTCAGTGGCCAAATCAGACCTTTTTTTCTTTTTTTTCTTTTTATTTTTTTTGGGGGGGTT